GTGAGTCGGAGCACGGAGAGATGAGCGGGAGAGATAGGAGGAGACAGGAATCAGGGGCTTAGTGAGACTGGAACAGGCACCTAGGGAGAATGGAATAAATGGCAACTGGTCACCAATCAGCCTGGCCCTCATTTCCTCCTTCGGCTGCTGATGGCATTGGCCGTCCCGGGTGGGGAAGTGGTTCGAGATCACTCAACGCAGGTGGCAAGAGAGAGCCACAAGATTTCTCCTAGCTGCTTGGAGATCACACACCGGTTCATCTGTTGGTGGCTTGACATTTCTCCGGCATAGGGTGGCGCCAACTAATGCCTTTGTGTTTTCTCTTGCTAAGTTGGCCCGAGTCTAGAGTCAGAGAAGCTAAGTGTCCCATAAGCACGATGTTTGAGATTAAAGCTGTTATCTGTGGGGTTTTGGCACAAATGTTCCTCACAGTGCAGCAGGGACCACTCAGAAGCAACCCCATGGGGTCCGGAGCGATAGCACAGTGGGAAGGGCGTTTGCCTGGCACGCGGCTGACCTGGGTTCGATTCCCAGCATTCCATGGGGTCCCCCGAGCACTGCCAGGAGTGATTCCTAAGTGCATGAGCCAGGAGGAACCTCTGTGCATCGCCAGGTGTGACCCCAAAAGCAAATAAATAAATAAATAAATAAATAAAAAGAAGCAACATCATGAAACATCACTGGCTCACAGAACAGGCCCCGTTACCTTCCTGACTGCATCTGTTTATTTCACAAGGCTTCATTCACACAGGAAAAACGAGATACTAATCCAATTCAAGTTCAAAACAATTAGAAAAGTAAACATCTGTTGAGACAATATACAATAAATTGCACTTCTCTTAACAAGCATTACATTACATGAAAGAGTGTACTATACATAACATAGAATTACGGAAACGCCTACTTGGCCAGTGTGTACAGAGGAGAAGGGTTCTCACTGCTGTGTTGCCAGCACAGTTTGGGGGGGGGGGGGCTCATCGACTTTATTCCAGAACTAGTTCCATTCAAGAAGTCATGGGCAGAAACAAGATTAATAAAAATAAATGTGCAGATTATCTGCTACCTCCCCAGCAAAGAAAGGAGGAGTTGCAAGAAAGGAAGTCAGAAACTTGAGAAACTTTCCCCCTCGCTTGAACTCAAGCATCCTTACATTTTGCAATAATACCAAAAATAGAGAAAACGGAAGCAAAAGGCTATTGGGACATCTTGGATTCTGGGACCGACTCCAGCTTTTTTTTATTCTTGTGCTTTCACGACGCCAGCGAGTCGATGCATTTCTGTCCCTCCAATTTCTTTCATTTTATTTCCTATCTAGCTCCCCATGGCGTCTTCGATATGCCAAAAATAGTCACAACAAGTCTCACCATGGAGACGTTACTGGAGCCCGCTCGAGCAAATCGATGAACAACGGGAGAACAGTGCAACAGTGCATTTCCTATCTAATACAGCTATAGAAGTTTGCATTTTTCATGAAAAGACTGTTAGATATCCTTTAGCCACTGAATTATTTCTTAAGCTTTTCCAGAATAGCTCTAGTGCACACCCAGGGCTGGGAGGAACTGTGTTTAGAGCAGAGAGAGACTTCAATCAAAATCAGACTGACGTGGTCTTTCTGGCAGAAGCAGAGAGAGGAAAGTTTGGCACCCCAGTCTTGAACTTCCAATTCCAGATCCTTGTCACCTCTGCGACTCCAGGCATGCACCTGGGTTTCTCGAACACGGGCCCCCTTAAGAGTCTTGCTAGCGGACACACGCCAGTGTTCAGATTCGGAGGGTGTTCATTCTCTCTGGGGACTTGGAGCCCTTGCTAAAGCCATGCCATAGAATCAACCTGCTCATTAAAAGTGCTCTTTCCAGGGAGGACAAAGGTTATTTTCAGATGTTCCTTATTTTACCTTGAAATGAGTCAGTCACCTTGTTAGCAGAAGTGGGTGGACTGTCCGGCTAAAGATAAAAAGAGATGGGGCTGGAGCGATAGTACAGTGGGGAGGGCGTTTGCCTTATACGCAGCTGACCTGGGTTCAATCCCCGGCATCCCATAGGGTCCCCGGAGAACTGCCAGGAGTAATTTCCTGAGTGCAGAGCCAGGAGTAACCAACCCATGAGCATCGCCAGGTTTGAGCAAAAATTCCAAAAAGAAAAGAAAAGAAAAGAAAAAGAGAACCCCTGACTTCATTACAGTGGCTTCATTCCTTTAAGGGTCTCACTCTGACGCCCTAAACTCTATCCGTTTGGTCTTCTTACTTCAGCAAGGAAATGAAGCCACTAGTTATTAACTAGGAAATACTTTAAGAAAAATGGAAACGTTTGAGGAAAAATAAATATTGATACATGGTATGAAAGTGATTTTTTAAAAAATGAAACAGCTCAACATGCACGCAAAGACTGCTTTCCTACTTCACTCGGGAAGTTTTAAGAAAGGCCGAAAGAAATAACTTCACAGATGGGAGAGAAAAAGGTTGGATGGAAGGAAAGACAGGCCAGTGGGACCATTAGGGCTTCTGATAGACACTCACACCCAACGCTCGGGAAGTAAGAACTTCTTTGCCTTGAATTCTAATGTATCTAAATAAAACCACTTTGGCCACGGCTCAAGCTGTGGGCCTCGCAAACATATGCACTGCAAACTCAGTCGCTTTTGTTTTTAAAGAATGTATTAAGCCACCGTCTCAGAATAGAAAAGGTAATGAACTGAATCATCAGGTTAAATTTCACCCCTTAAATCATTCCGAAGAATTTAGTGAAAAGAAAAAATCGTTACTTTTCAGAATGTTGAATTTCTGGAGGACTGTTCTATACAATGAATTGTAGGAAAAGATGGAAAACTTGACTATTTCATTTCCTGGATATCTAAACTGGCTGATCTCTTTCTGAAAAAAAAAATATATATATATATATATGACTTCTCAAGCAATATATGATGAAAGAGATGTGTTTTGGAATAGTGGTATTGGTACATATGGTGACTATATTTGGTATAATCACCATAGATACCAAGTTTTGAGTTTTCTTTTTATTTTGGAGCCAGAGAGATGGTGTAGTGGGGAGGGCACTTGCCTTGCATGCAGCCAACCCAGGTTTGGTCCTCTGCTCCCAATACGGTCCCCCAAACTTGCCAGGAGTGATCCCTGAGTGCAGAGCCAGGGGTAAGCCCTGAGCACTGCTGGGTGTGGCCCCCAAAGCAAAACAAAATAAAACCTTTTCTTTTTCTCTCTCGACTTTAGCTACTGACTCAGAAGGGGAGTATTCCCTCACTGGGAATGGGACCCATACATTTGCCTGAAAAAAGAAACCGGGCAGAAAGGAAAGGTTGGCATTAATGTATTTCCAAAGAGTTAAGAGAAACTTCAAGACAGCTTGGAATGTAAGTGCCTGGGAATTTTGTTTAAAGAAAAAAAAAAGGAAGGGATTAGGAAGGCGAGGGGTCCCCACAAGCTTGCAGGCAGGCAGCCCTTGTTTCTCCTCGGTTACAGAGGGCCAGGGTGCGGGCGAGGCATTCTGGCACATGAACTGGTTTGGGGGAGATGACGGGAGCTCTGGAGAACTCAGGGAGAGTCACAGAACACAAAAGAACATTTGAATTTGACTGGCCCTTTGCACGAGGTCGCTGGTGCAAGTTTTCTTGGAACAAACGCATCCAGTACCAGCGAAGCTAACACGGTCTACTAAATGATTTCCCTTACATATTAAAGAAAAGAAATCAGATAGTAGGGTGGGGGTGGGGAGGGGAGGCATGGGATCAAACTGAGCCCAAGGCCTCACACACATGAAGGATCTGCTCAATCACCGTGTGACATCACAGCATCAATTTTCCTCACCCCGACATGGGGAATGGCCGCGTAAGAGCATATTAGTATTCCAGTTAAAAGATGTTGCACAAAAAATGAAAGCCATTAAGAAAAATATCTGATGACTGGGACAATGGGCTAAGGCTAACCAACGCCCATATCCGGTTACAGGGACCCTAACCTCCACTGCAGCACACGCTCCAGGCCACCAAGACTCCACACTGATTTCTACTGTGAATATGTCGCTTTTAATTTTGCAACATATTTCACAGATGAATTTTCTGCAGAGGATAGGTTCAGTGAAGGAAGGAGAATGACTAATGAAAGCTCCTATTCCTAACTGACAGTAGTTTGATTGGAATTAAAAAACCAAAGGCCTCCAAAATAGCTTAGAAAATGGGTCTCTCAGTTTTTGCCCTTAACAAAGGATTTCCTGCAAGGACTATTTAAACAGACAGACACGTTAAATAGAGTCGAAAAAAACATTTCCATCAACTTGTAAACAATTCTTTTAACCTTTCCATGAGATGAGTATGCCTATAAAAGTTTTACTATTTGATCAAAAAATGTTACAAACGCACTTATACCTCTCCATCAAGGAGGACACAGAATACAGTTTTAAGGAGCTACAGAAATCGGGCGAAACTGCCTAACGTTGAACTGGGATGTGAAGTGGGTCTCTGTTTCTTATTTCATCACTTCAGTGAAGTCACAGAATATTAGTGTTTTGTTTTTTTTTAGCAAATATATGTCAACAAAAAATGAAAAACACCCCCTGGTTTTGTTTTCTATGGTAGCACAGGCACTGGGCAGGGCCCCTGCGGGCTCTCTGCTTCCAGAATCCTCTGTGACACCATTCACAGGAAGTCAAATCTCTGACACTCAGGAATTCGCAATTCCTGGGTCAGGTTCTTCATGGTCTGTTAGGAGGCGAGGGCCAGTGATTCCTTCTATTCTGTGTGGGTCGGAACCTCGGTTCCTGTTCTCTAGTGTCTATTCTCACCCTCACCTCACAGAAAAGAATTCTCTTTGGGGACTGTTGAATCCCAGGGCTGTTCTCTGTGGACAGGATGGCCTCTGTCCAGGGCCTAGTTTTTCAAGAAGAACCTGACAGCAGGCTGGGCTGACCTCCACCCCCAGCCCCAGTGTGGTCTATCGGAATTAAATCCTGAAAATGAAGAGGATTCGGTTACAATCTCGGGTATCTCTTTTTTTCTTTCCCTTTTGGCTGTGATAGTTTCCTATCACTTTGGAATTGGAATGATTCTTAAGGGGCGATAAAAAAGAATTAAGGATCATTCTAAGCCCATAGTACTTAGTTCTGAAATGACTTCTTTCTAACACAACATCAGGCAGAGAAAATAATGTGCAAACACTGATGCTCTGGCAGGACCCTCCACCCGGGGACTCGAACACACACGCAACGGAAATTGGGTGCTGTGCGCACGGCCTCCGGGAAGGTCGTGGGTGGAGAGGGAGCTACTGAAATGTGCTGGCTGGCTTCGGGCCTCTGTGACCTCCTCTCAGAGGGACGCAGGGAGAGGCCTCATGGGTTTCCGTCGCTTTGATCGTTTGTGCTCTTGTGCGGGAACGGGCAGGAACTAGGTGCTCTCTTTGGGGGGCTGGCTAGCCGGCGGGGACGGTAGGGGCTGGGTGCCCGTGGCCGTTTTGATAGAGTTCAGGGTTTTGCTAAACCAAGAGTTCTTGGCCGCTTGGATTTCGTTCATGAGGGTTCCTCTCTGGTGTTCAAGTTCCTGATTAACAGAGAGAATCGGAGTTAGACAAACGTGTTTATTGTTCAACGCCCCCAATACGGCCTCTTGGGTTCTCCAGCTCCCTGGGGCCATCACTTTCCTCTCACAAGACCCAGAAAAAGGTTTGCCTAAAGTAAGAAAAACCTTTAGAGCAAAATGAGCTGTTTCTAGAACTCAGAATTCTATTTTCTCAAAACAGTGGAACAAAACTTTCTGTTGGTGGGGCTAAAGCGATAGCACAGTGGGTAGGGCAGTTGCCTTGCACACAGCCCACCCGGGTTCGATTCCCAGCATCCCACAGGGTCCCCCGAGCACCGCTAGGAGTGATCCCTGAGTGCAGAGCCAGGAGTAAGCCCTGAGCATCGCTGGGTGTGACCCGAAAAGCAATCAATCAATCAATCAATCAATCAATAAACAAACTTCCCTTTGGCCAGAGAGGGACTTGCCTTAGGAGGGAAGGGACTTAATTCCTTGTATCCCACAAAGCCAGGCACTGCATCTGGTTTGAGTACCACCAGGGTCCCCCTGAGCATCTCTGAAATGCGATTCCCCCACTCCAGCTTCCTCAAAATAATAAAAAAAAAAGGGGGGGCTGGAGCAACAGAACAGCCTGTAGGGTGCTTGAGTGGATGACCCAGGTTCAACCTCTCTGGCATCCTGCATGGTTCCCTGAGCACAGTGCCAGGAGTAAGCCCCAAGCCCTGCCAAGTGTAGCCTGAAAACAAACCAAACAATAACGATAAACACATCTTGAATTTCAAGTTTGAATTGCACCCTGAGGTAAAAACATTTATTTGGGGGAGGGGGGTTGCTCCCAAGCAGTGCTCAGGGGAGCCCTGGGCAGTCCATGGCTAACCGGCCTGGATACAATGTTGGAGCCCCACGATGTGGGGACACCTGGGCCACTCAGGTGGTGCTCAGGGGACCATGCGGTGGCAGGAATCGAACCCCCATCTTGCTAGGCATGTACCTTAACCGCTGGATTATCTCAAGTTTTAAGAGGATGGCTTCAGTTCCATTCACCTGGCAGATGGTCCCCTCCCTGCTTCCACAATAAAAAAGATAACATGTTTAGGGGCTGGAGTGATAGCACTGCGGGGAGGGCATTGGCCTTTCACGCAGTTGACCCGGGTTCGATTCCCAGCATCCCATAGGGGGCCCTGAGCACCGCCAGGAGTGATTCCTGAGTGCAGAGCCGGGAGTCAGCCCTGAGCTTCGCCGGGTGGGACCCAAGAAGCTAATAAATGAATGAATGAATGAATGAAGGACTCTCCCTGGCCAACCCTCCCTCGAGCCTCCGACCTGGATCTTGCACTTGGCCTCCACCAGCTGCAGCTTGGTCTGCGCCAGCTCCAGCTCCATCTCCCGCAACTGCTTCTTCAGCGAATCCTTCTCGTCGTCGGATTCCATCCCCCGGTCCTCCCTGCTTCCGGCGGCGGGTTTCAAAGTGCCTTCCTTGCTGAAAATGTCACTGCAGTGTTTACATGCCATCATTTTACCCTGAAATCACCGAGAGAACCGCTATCAGATTATTTCAGAACTCAAATCACTTCTGGAAAAAAAAATTTTTTTGGGGGGGGGGTCACACCTGGCGGTGCTCAGGGGTTCCTCCCAGCTCATGCACTCAGGAATCACTCCTGGTGCTGCTCGGGGGACCCTAGGGGATGCCGGGGATTGAACCCGGGTCGGCCACGTGCGAGGCCAATGCCCTCCTTGCTTTGCCATCGCTCCAGCTCCTATTTTTTTTTATTACTATTATTTTTCTGCTTTTTGGGTCACACCCGGCGATGCTCAGGGGTTCCTCCTGGCTCTGCACTCAGGAATCACTCCTGGCGGTGCTCAGGGAACCCTAAAGGATGCCGGGGATTGAACCTGGGTCGATCCCAGAAGGCAAATGTCCTTTCCTCTGTGCTCTTGCTCTGCCCAAATCACCAATGTTGATGGGTGGTATTTGGCTTTTCTCCCTCCTGGTTCTTAAATCTTTTCCTGTTTATTTTTGTTTGTTTCCTACAGGAGAAAATGATGCTCAAGAATTTTTTTTTTTGGGGGGGGGAGGTACTGTGCCTACCAGTGCTGAGGACTGAACGAACACGAGGCCCTAAGCACTGCCCCTCCCCCGCCACCAGCCCCAATGAGAGTCATTTTACGTCATCCAATAATTGCTATTTCCTCTCTGCCCCTTGTGCCCACGTTCCAGCCTCTCTCCTCAGGTGAAAATTCCTCGGCCCCACCTAGACGCTTACCCACCTGCTTTGATCAATGGCGGGGTATTCAAAGAAAAATCTGAACACCACATTCTTTTTTTTTTTTCTGCTTTTGGGTCACACCCGGCTATGCTTAGGGGGTTCCTCCTGGCTCTGCACTCAGGAATCACTCCTGGCGGTGCTCAGGAGACCCTATGGGATGCCAGGGATCGAACCCAGGTTGGCCATGTGCGAGGCCAATGCCCTCCTTGCTTTGCTATTGCTCCAGCCCCTATTTTTTTTATTACTAATATTTTTCTGCTTTTGGGGTCAGACCCAGCGATGCTCAGGGGTTACTCCTGGCTCATGCACTCAGGGAATCACTCCTGGCGGTGCTCGGGGGACCCTATGGGATGCCGGGGATTGAACCCAGTCAGTCGCGTGCAAGGCAAACATTCTACCCATTTTGCTATCCCTCCGGCCCCCCACTTCTGAAAATATTGTGCTTCTCTAAATACTGCTCGTCATCAAACGTGGATCCACATCTAAAGGTGATTCTTCTCGGTGCTGTAGCCCTCACAGTTCGAGTTGGCACAGCCAACTCCCCAAGGCAGGTCCACAGCATCACATTGTCTCTTTGAAAGCTCTTCCATAATCTTTATCTGCTGATCTACCATTTCGTCACTACTATCCAAACTGAGCCTTTACATATGATTTTGGATCATTTCCTCAATTTCACATTCAAATGTAGTAACTCATTCTAGTTTTTATTTTTATTTTTTTGCTTTTTGGGTCCCACCCGGCAATTAGCACAGGGGCTAATTCCTGCCTCTCCACTCAGGGATTACTCCTGGCGGTGCTCGGTGGACCCGCTGGGATGCTGGGAATTGAACCCGGGTTGGCTGTGTGCAAGGCTAATGCCCTACCCGCTGTGCTATCACTCCAGCCCTGAAGTAACTCACTCTTGCAGGAAAATTCTAAGTACTCATGTACAGTTTCTGTGAAAAACACAGATCTAACAGCTGTGCACATTGGTACACGCTCGTGGGCCAAAGAGATCGTACAGAGAGTAGGGCTGTGTCGTGAGTGCGTCCAACCTGGGTTCGATCCCTGGCACCCCCATAGGGTCTCTGAGCCTGCCAGGAATGACCCTGAGCACCCTCGGGTGTGGCCCACCCCCCAAAAAGAGAACATGCTCAGTATAAATCCCTGGCTTTGTTCAAGACACCAACTACAAATGATTATGGTCAGAGTTAACATACAGCAGTTAAGGCCCCGGCCTTGCACGCAACCATCCCCAGCTTTGCCACCCCGTGTGGCCCAAGTCCCTCTCTCCAAAGAGAGGATGAAAAAGGCAGGGTAGAGCCTGCTTTAAAATTGGGATCCCATAGACACAGAAAGATTGCATTCATTTGGGTAACATAAAGTAACAAACTAGGAGACTAATACCCAAGAATAGCCGAGATAAGTACCAGGAGGTTTATTCCATGGCCTGGAGGCCAGCCTCACACTCTAGGGGTAAAGGCAGCTCAGATGGAGAAGGGAGCACCCAATAAACGGTGCTGGGAGGATCCTCCCAGGATGGGAGATGTATGCTGAAAGTAGACTCTAGACCGAACATGACTGCCACCCAATGCCTCTTCTGCAAACCACAGCACCCAAAAGGAGAGAACAAAAGGGAGTACCCTGCCACAGAGGCAGGGTGAGATGGGGAGGATGGAGGGTGGGAGGGATACTGGAATTGGTGGGGGTGGAGAATGGGCACTGGTGGAGGGATGGGTACTTGATCATTGTATAACTGAAACCCAAGCACAAAAACTTGTAAGTCTACAACTGTACCTCATGGTGTTTCATTATTAAAAAAATAAATTAAAAAAAAATAGAGATCCCAGGGGCTGGAGCAATAACACAGTGGGTAGGGTGTTTTGCCTTGCACACGGTCGAGCCGGGTTCGATTCCTAGCATCCCATATGGTCCCCTGAGCACCATCAGGGGTAATTCCTGAGCGCAGAGCCAGGAGTAACCCCTGTGCATCGCTGGGTGTGACCCAAAAAGCAAAAAAAAAAGGGGGGGGGGGGATCCCAGGCTGGAGTGATAACACAACGGGTAGGGCGTTTGCCTTGCATGCAGCCAACCTGGGATCGATTCCCAGCATCCCATAGGGTCCCCCCAGCATTGCCAGGAGTGATTCCTGAGTAAAGAGCCAGGAGGAACCTCTGAGCATCGCTGGGTGTGACCCAAAAAGAAAAAAATAAAATAAAATAAATAGGTATCCCATAGTTTTATCAGACACAGGGATGAAGACAACTAAATTCTAAGCAATCTCAGGTTAATGGGTACATTTTCAATTTACAACTTGCAATTTTCCTGTTGTAAGAAATGTATCGAGAGAGCATAGAAGGACACAAGCCAACAGACCAGAGCCATGCTGCTGGACCCCGCACTGGGCTGTTTCATTCGGGGCACCCTGGAGGGGGGTGGGTGAGGCCCTTCCCCAACCCTCAGGACCCAGCCCTGGCAAACCGAAAACCTCCAGAATTCAACCACCACCACGCTCACGGCCGCTCTCCACACGCTCAGGCCATGCCTCACCCATGAGGGAACCTATTCCTGGAACATCCACCCATATGCCAAGTACCACATTTGATGGGGTTTAAAGTAGAAGGCAATCGATCTTAGAGGGAAGTATATTTTTACACACATACACACGCACGCACACACATACACACATACACACACACAAGTCTCAACCTTCAACAACATAACAACATGTTAACAGTTTCTTATAGACAGGCTTAATGGACCCTGGGTGAGACACAACAATCTTCACACTCCTCTAAGAAAACTTTTTTTGGATCAATCTCAGCAGTTTATTCATAACGAACAACACAAAATGAATTATTTTGGTTCTGCTTTGGGGCAGGGGTTGGGGTTTGGGACGGAAACATATCAAATATAGTGGTGGGAAGGTGTCATGGTGGTGGGACTTGGTGTTCGAATATTAAATATAATCAAATATTGGTAACCACTTTATAAAAAAAAAAAAAGAAAGAAATGTGTCTGTAGCACACTGACCTGTGCTGAGTACTAAGCTAAACACTAAGCCTCCTCTGACTTTCCAGATGACCTGGGGAGGTGGGGAATGTTTTCTCTGACAGAATATAAAATATAGCTTAGAGAGGTGAACAACTCGTCCCACTTAGGTACCTGGAAATGCAATGAAACGGGACGACATTCTAGTATGATAACTGTGATTTCTGTAATGTGGCCCCAAGATGCTGGGTGGACCAGCCTTACTTCTTCACGCGAGTCCGTCTGATTGAGCGTGTAGGTTTCTAGAGAATAGAGGAACTGCTTTTTCACCCAGTATCAACAGTTTTGCCACCAGGGGGCATAGCATTGAAATGGATGCTACAACTTTGTCTTTTAAATCCCTCTAAACACTTGGGTGAAGAACCAACAGGTGCTTTGAGCCCAGCTCTGATGCCCCCAGCGTCTGCCTCCCGGTCCCCACGTCACCACCCACGCCGTGCTTACCTTCACCACTTCCAGCTCCTCCTTGCTGGCCGCTTGCTGCTTCTCTAGCCTGGTGCTCAACTGGGAACAGATCTAAGGGAGAGGAAAGAGCTTGACTAGAAAAAATGCCACAGGCAAGCGTGGTTTGGCCCCTCCATCACTGGTGGGTCCCTGGTGCTGCAAGTTGCGGAGGCCATTGGCAGAGCCAGGGGACAGGCGCGGGGGGGGGGGAGGGGGGAGAGTCCACGTCCCTGACACCGGCCTTTGGCCTCAGTGCAGAGGCACTGTCTGTCCCACCGAATGGAACTGCAGAGTCTTGGGGAGTCGCTGCTCTGTGTGGGGCACTGATGCTGGGGATCTAAAGGGACAACTCTCAGCCAGGAAGTTTCTGTTTTCCCAAATCATGAACAGCTTTGTCAAGGTCAATCTCACAGCGATTCAACTCAAAAAATTCTTTACAAATAGATGAGTTATATGTATTAAAAAATTATGTATTATGACAAGAAGAGAGAAAAGTTTCTGTTTTCAACTAAAGGTAAAGGTAAAGGTAAAGGCCCTCCCGTTGATCGTCGATTTGCTCGAGCGGGCCCAGTAACGTCTCCATTGGAGACTTTGTTGTTACTGTGTCTGGCATATCCAATACTCTCGGTAGCTTGCCGGGCTCTCCGAGAGGGGCGGAGGAATCGAACTCGGGTCGGCCATGTTGGCCGCCTGCAAGGCAAACGCCCTACCAGCTGTGCTATCAACTAGGAGAATTTTCTTATGAAGAGGTAAAACCTTCAAAATGATTAGAAGAGAATAAAAACCACAGCATCGGGCTGGAGCGATAGCACAGCGGGGAGGGCATTTGCCTTGCACGCGGCCGACCCGGGTTCGATTCCCAGCATCCCATAGGGTCCCCCCAGCACTGCCAGGAATGATTCCTGAGTGCAGAGCCAGGAGGAACTCCCGAGCATCACCAGATGTGACTCAAAAAGCAAAAAATAAATAAATAAATAAAAATTAAAAAACAAAAACAAAAACAACAACAACAAAAACAAAACCCAAAAAACCAAAAACCAAAAAACAACACCACGGAATCAAGTGGCCTGGAAACAGCTTAACAGAAAGCCTGGGAGTCTGGGTGCTTCTGGGCTGTGCTCTGGTCTGTGAGAGAGCTTTGTGAGCCTCTCGACTTGACAGGGATGTGCTGGGAGTCTGCCCGGAAGTGTCCTGTTCGAGAAGGGTCTCAGATCGTGGGCCGACAGTCAGGACTCTCTTGGCAATAACATCTGGGACCACTGACTGGGGGACATGGTGCTAAGGAACAGAGAGAAGCGCAAGCTTTCAAAGCCCAAGTTCCACTCTCTTCTGAATGAAGATGTTTGCTCAGTAAAATGGAACAGAAGAGCCAGTGGACGTCAAATTTAACAGTGCATCTTGGGCTAAAAATAAAGGGTCTGTTCTGTTATCAAAACACATGAAGCGCAGATGCTGGCCCAGTCCATGTGCTGCTTGCACCCACGTGGCCGAGCACACGTGGTACCTGAGCTCACGTGTCGCCCGCATCTCCCCTCTTGAGATGGGGATTTTCATACTTTCCTGTCTGATGCTGGGGTGTGTGCAGGGCTCTCTCTGCCCTCGGAGAAGCCCGGGCTCTCTCTTGAGTGTGTTACTCTCCCCCTCCACGCCTTCGAAAACCCTCCAAATAAAATCTATTTGTTTTAAAAAGGAAAAAATAACGCATTAAAACCCCGAGTGTGTGTGTTTGGGATGGAGGTTATCAAGAGAGAGAAGGGTCAGGGCTGGAGTGATAGCACAGCATGGAGGGCGTTTGCCTGACATGTGGCTGATCCAGGTTCAATCCCCGGCATCCCATAGGGTCCCCCGAGCACCGCCAGGAGTTAATTCCTGAGCGCAGAGCCAGGAGGAACCATCGCCAGGTCTGACTGAAAAAGCAAAATAAAATAAAATAAAAATAGAGAAGGGTCTAGTATAACAATAATGGTTGGAAATGATCACCTCGGACGACAAGAACTGAGTGTTCAAAGTAGGTAAAGAGATATGCAGGATAACCTTTCAGTATCTGTATTGCCCAAAAGGTGAGAGAGAGACATAGAGAGACAGCGACAGAGACACAGAAAGACATACAGAGAGAGATGCCTGCCACAGAGACAGGCTGGGGGTGGGGGGAGTTGGGGGATGATGGGAGGGACCCCGGGGACCCTGGTGCTGGGAAATGTGCCCTGGTGGAGGGACGGGTGTTGGAACACTGTGTGACTGAAACCCGATCATGAACAGCTCTGCAATGTTCTATCTCACGGTGATTCAATTTTTAAAACTTTTTTTTAAAAATTAAAGAAATTCTAGCCTGCTCAAAAATTGTTCTAGACACCATGTCTGCTTGTTCAGTTTCCACTTTCTACAGGAGAATTTGTTTCCAAGCCTGCAAACAATCCAGCTGAACTGCCTGATGTTAAAAAACAAGCATCTTCCTGCTTTGGGCCAACCGTAAAACTACCCTTGAAATAAACCAACGCCTGAGAAATACAGTCAGTTCCGACCTACAGTTTCCGTGTAGATGATGTCTTATAATGTCACGGTCTCCAACCAGCTGGGTCCACTGCCTGTTACATTTCGTGGAGAGCTGGGGGTCACGCCTCTGAGTTTTAAAGAGACCCTTCCTAGAGGCACACAAACAAATCTCGGAACGGGGTGGCTCTCGGCAGACATGCCTCTGGACTGTGCATTAGGCCACCTTCGCCAGGCCGCCCAGTTGGGAACGGGCGCTGTCCTTTCGCCTGTTCCCTAGGAAGCCTGGTGGCTGCCAAATTCCAGAACTCATTGAAAAAGTCAGAAATGATGACACACACTGGGCCTCATGGGACAGGGGAGGAGACGGTCCTGGTCCTTCTCCTTCCCGACCCTGATGGAATCCTGGGACACCGCCCACGAACAGCCCCCAGCTACGTATTTATTTATTTTCTTTTTGGGTCACACCTGGCGATGCACAGGGGTTACTCCTGGCTCTGCACTCAGGAATCACCCCTGGTGGTGCTCAGGGGACCATATGGGATGCTGGGAATCAAACCCGGGTCGGCCATGTGCAAGGCAAACGCCCTACCCACTGTGCTATCGCTCCAGTCCTCCCCCCCCCCCCCACAGCTACTTATTAAGCTCCTTAAGGGCCACGATCCTAGAGATACACAAATAAATCTCAGAACCCAGTAACTCTTGACAGAAATCTCTCCAGACCTAATTATTAAAAATTAAAAAATTCCAAGACGATGTGGCTGCAAGCAGACACATAACATCATATGCTATTCATAACCAGCAATAGAAAACAAGTTGTCTAATGTTGCCTCTTTGGCAGGTCATTGGGGGGAAATTCCAAATAATAATGTTGGGTCTGGTGTCAAAATATTGAATGTAATCAAAGCAGAGAGAGAGAGAGAGTAATGTGGAAATTATTTGCCACACAGGCTGGGGTAGGGGTGGGAGAGGGTGTATACTGGGGTTGGTGGTGGTGGAGAATGGGCACTGGTGAAGGGATGGGTGTTTGATCATTGTATGACCGAGACTCAAACAGGAAAGCTTTGTAACTGTTCTCACGGTGATTCAATAAATTTAAAAATAACCAATAAAGGCCATCTTTACAGCACACAGCCGCAGAGAAGAAAGGCCGCTGGGAGGCTCCACAGCTCCCGGAGAATGCACCAGGTCCCCAAAAGAGCCAAGATCACCGGGAAGTCCCAGATGGGGTAGGTGCCGCATCCCGCCTCCTCCAGATGGAACCCCGGTGACCATGAGCCTCTACAAGCATAGCTCGAGAATGCGAGAACCAGGACTCTCAGTCCAAACCTCGTGGCCGCTTACGCGGCTGCGTGACATCTCCCTATATACAAAGTGATCGATGGAAAGTAAATCATCCAACGTTTCTCCCTGAAAATCAGGCTTAACTCTTATACAAACCACAACACCCAATAGGAGAGAGAGAACAAAAGGGAACGCCCTGCCACAGAGGCAGTGTGGGATGGGGGGGATGGGGGGGTGGGAGGGATACTGGGATCCGTGGTGGTGGGAAATGGTCACTGGTGGAGGGATGGGTATTCAAAATAAATTAATTAATTAATAAAATAAAATAAAACAGATCTTCCTCCCCCCCCAAAAAATAACCAATAAAAATAAATAGAGATCCCTCCTGTTCCACTATACTGACAACTGTCAGTCACCAACAGAACACCTTGCGCCATCAGACCTCTCAAGTTCACAGCCAGCACCGCCACGGAGGCAAGTCACCAGATCTGATGGCTGAGGTGGTGTCACTGTGCTAGACAGAGTGTCTGTCTGCAACCCCCTTACCTGCTTGTACTCGGCGATGATAGCTGTCGTCTTCTTGATCTCGTACTCGGCCTTCTCCAGCTGTTTCCTGAAGACTTCTTTCAGCTGGAAAGGAGCCAGCAAGAAACATGCAGGCTCAGGACGATGGGAAGCGTCTCTAAACATCATCTAAGCTCAGGTCTGCCCGACCCACAGCAAGGGTCGTCACTGTCACACTTTCCTGCCTGAAGTCGCATCCTGATGGCCGCCAAACAGAAGCCCCTCAGAGACACGGTGTATGCGCTAGACACGGCGACCCATTCTGCACCACTGACTTCAAACATGCCTAGCGACATGGGTGGTCGTTTGGGGGCTCTCTGTCCTAGAGCGGGAATCTAGCCATGGGAGCACGATGGTCTCCTGAAGAAAATGCCCCCTACTCCTCCCCTCTGGAGGAAGGTGAGAGCTTCCAAGGTCAGGAGATGCAGGGACAAAGCCAGTCACACTAGAAGCAGCTACATGGGCCCCTAATGCAGTTATCTGCTTCAGTCCCTAGAATACTAGCGCATGAAAGCTAAGCTGAAACCATGGCGACTGTTTTAAACCAAGAGCAAAAACCATGGCTGTTGTTGGTTTCAAACCATGATTATTTTTGTAGCCTGCCAGCTCTATAGATAGTTATAGTCATGTAAAAATTGATGGATTTTAACCCTAAGTGTTTTAGGCTTCGTCAGTGAATGGCCCCTTTTCCTTCTCCCAGACAAGTTTGCAGTGGTCTTATGAGTACTGCCAATCCCCTGAATTTATCTTCTTTTTTTTTCTTTTTGGGTCATACCCCATGATGCTCAGGGTTCCTCCTGGCTCTGCACTCAGGAATTACTCCTGGCGGTGCTCGGGAGACCCTGTGGATGCTGGGAATCGAACCCGGGTCGGCCACATGCTGGGCAAACGCCCTCCCCACACTGCTATCACTTCAGCCACTAGTCTGCATTTTATTTATTTTTTTGCTTTTTGGGACTCCCACCCGGCGATGCTCAGGGCTGACTCCTGGCTCTGCAGTCAAGAATCACTCCTGGCGGTGCTCGAGGGACCCTATGGGATGCTGGGGAACCGGGGTCAGCTGCGTGCAAGGCAAACGCCCTCCCCTATTGTTCCAGCACCCCTGGGTTTACCTTTAACCTTTCTCTTTGTGCTTTACAATTCCCCAAGTCAAGCTTGGTGACTTAGGTGATTCTGGACTTTGTATTTGTAGTAAATGACTCACTTTCCTATTTCCCCTGTAACTTTTCCATATTTTGCTATAGAAGAATGTTCTTTGCTTAAACACAGAAGGACCATTAATGCGGTGCTCTGAATACTTGGGAGTTGATTGACTCTGAAATATATCTACCCCTGGGCATTCGTCATAATTACTTGACTTCAGGCTTCGGTTGCCATAGTTTCTAACACCACACAGACAGGTCCCGCTGTGGGACTGGGATGGACCCGGGGCAAGCAGCAAAGCTACCCCAGCATGGAAATGGGACAGTCTAGAAAGCAGAAAAGCACGGTCTTGCTGCAAGCTGCTATGACTTAAGAGACAGGACCCCCAAGGGGAAGGAAAAGCTGAACCGGCCTGAGCACTTAGTCTGGGATTTATGGTAAAGGCCTTGCTTGCCCTCAGAGCCCAGGGAACTCGGTTTGGGGTTCTATATCTTATCTGTATCTCTTACTGTGTATCTGAATAACTGCAAGAATTAATAGGAAGCAAGCTTAATTGTTTCGTATGTACAACTAAAGGGAAAGAGAAAAAGAGAAAAGCATCTAGATGTTTCTGGGAGCCAGACCGTCTCCTTGAGTCAATCCACCCAAGAGAAAGGCCTCCACCAAAACGCTTTCCCTCTGTAAGTCACACCTACATACAGCCCCGTACCTTGAACCCCCTCAGAAGTGCTATAAGCATGCTAACAGTTCTGCCTTAAATGGGCTTTTAAAATTTTTTTTTGCTTTTTGGGTCACACCTAGGGATGCTCAGGGGTTCCTCCTGGCTCTGCACTCAGGAATCACTCCTGGCCTGGTGGTGCTCGGGGACCCTATGGGATGCTGGGAATCGAACCCAGGTCGACTACTGCATGCAAGGCAAATGCCCCCCCCAAGCTGTACTATTGCTCCAGCCCCTAAACAGGCCATTTTATCAGTCTGGTTCCGTCTCTTTGCTCCTCTCCTGGGGAGGTGGCTCTTGGTCACTGAACCCACGCGTTGCGCACCCCACCATTCTGAACTCACAAAAACGAACAATTGCGTGGCATACGCCAAAAAGGTAAAGGCAGGCATGACGAAACAAGCTCTGGGGAAAAGGAAGGAAGTTGTTCTTCCAAGTGAAGACCTAGCTGGACAGAAGCAGCCCCGGAGGACACGGCAGCGGGGGAAGACAGTCGGGTCAGGCGGCGCTGAGAGGGACGCGCTCAGCCACCAGCGCCAGCACCTGATGGTGGCGCCAAGGCCTCCCCAAGTGTATTTCTGTGTCATTCTAAGGCCCCTGCAGGCTTGAGGGACTCAGGATCAGCTGCATCTGCGCCTCACAGAGGTGCCTTGGTGACAGGACAGAAACGCACACGGCTGCCTGGCACATTCTCTGCCCACTTTCAGCCGGGATCAAGCGAAATGACCCGAGGCCAGAGAGGCGGGGTGGGCAATTCGGTGACCTGGTGGGACCCTCTGCATAGCCTGCAGTGCCCCTGGGACCCCCCAGGGCTCACTCCTGAGCATCACTGCGTGTGTCTTTACCCCAAGCCCACCCCAATAAAAGCCCAAGTTCATTAACTACCAAGAGTCATTGTATCATTTTCCCATTTTCCAAAAATCACATTAATACTTTCTATGGATTCTGGAGGGTGCTACAGGATGTCAGGGATATGTTTTCCTGGCAGGTCGCGAGGCCGTGTGTTGGTGCTTGGTGTCCTGATACCTCAAGGTCCTGAGTGGAGAGGCTGAGGATGACACCCCTGGCAGCATCTCCTCTCTCAGCCCTATGGGGTGGGTGTCCTTCACTCCAGGTGTAGGGTGCTCCAGCAGGGCAGAGCACTCAGTAATGAGCCTGGAGGGCCCAAGAGATAGCACAGTGGGGAGGGTGTTTGCCTTGCATGTGGTTGACCCGGGTTCGATCCCCAGCATCCCATAGGGTGCCCTGAGCACCGCCAGGAGTGATTCCTGAGTGCAGAGCCAGGAGTCAGCCCTGAGCACCGGCAGGTGTGACCAGAAAAGCAAAAGAAGGAAAAAACAAAGAAATGATAGGGGCTGAAGGATAGCACAGCGGGGAGGGTGTTTGCCTTGCACGTGGCTGACCCGCATCCCATAGGGTTCGATTCCCAGCATCCCATAGGGTCCCCTGAGCACTGCCAGGAGTAATTCCTGAGTGCAGAGCCAGGAGGAAACCCTGAGCATCACTGGGTGTGACTAAAAAAAAAAAGCAAAAACAAAAACAAACCAACAAACCAACCAAACAAATAAAAAGCAAAGACATGAGCCTGGCCTGTGATGCGACTCTGCCTACTGGCTGGGCTCTGAGAAAACGCAATCCTCTCCGATGGCAGAGGCAAATTCCCAGCACTGTGCTCTCCCTCTTGACACCCTCCCACAGTCTGGGGCTCGGCCTGATGACTCCCACCCTGGCTGCCCCCTACCTGGGCCGTCTCTTCCTCCTGCTTCCGCTTCTCTTCCTCTGTCTCCACCAACCTCTGCTTGGTCAGGAGCAGCTCCTTGTTCAGCACGTCTGCCTTGTCCTCCGCCTGCTCGTCAGAGCACAGGGAAGCCCCCAGGTGAGGAGAGGAAGAGGGGGTCTCCCCCTGCAAAGCCCCATCACCGCCTCTTCCTGTTTCCGGCACGGCACGCCTTGGGGACAACCCTCCCAACCAGCCCTTCGGGGTGGAACATTTCCAGAAACTGGCTCGTACTACGGAGGAGCAGCGAGGAGGGCGCTTGCCTGGCACCTGGCCAACCTGGGTTCGATCCCCGGCATCCCATAGGTTCCCTCGAGCACCGCCAGGAGTGATTCCTGAGTGCTGAGCCAGGAGTCAGCCCTGAGCATCGTCAGGTGTGGCCCCCAAACAAACCCCCCCCAAAAAAAACAAGACAAAAATTAAAAATTAGGGCCAGAGCAATAGCACTTTGCCTTGTGTGCCGCTGACCCGGGTTCAACCTCCCAGTTATCTTATAGGGTCCCCGGGGCACTAGTTCCTGAGTGCAGAGCCAGGAGTAACCCCTGAGCACTGCTGGGTGTGACCCCAAAAGCAAAAGAAAGAAAGATAGAAAGAAAGAAAGAAAGAAAGAAAGAAAGAAAGAAAAACTCCGGGACTGGGGCCGGAGCGATAGCACAGTAGGGAGGGCGTTTGCCTTACATGTGGTCGACCTGGGTTCGATCCCCAGCATCCCATAGGGTCCCCTGAGCACCGCCAGGAGTGATTCCTGAGTGCAGAGCCAGGAGTCAGCCCTGAGCATCGCCAGGTGGGACCCAAAAAGCAAAAACAACAACACTGCACTGTAGCACTGTGTTGTTCATCCATTTGCCCGAGCGGGCCCAGTAATGTCTCCATGGTGAGACTTTGTTGTGACTGTGTCTGGCATATCGAATACATCACGGGGAGCTTGCCAGGCTCTGCCGTGCGGGCGAGATACTCTCGGTAGCTTGCCGGGCTCTCTGAGAGGGGTGGAGGAATCAACTCAGGTCGGCCAAGTCGGCCGCGTGCAAGGCAAACGCCCTACCTGCTGTGCAACAACAATAAATAATAAAAAAAAAACCAACCTAACAGTTGGTTCCAGTAATCAGATTTAGGGAGTGGGCTAAGAACATGCTAAATCACGGGCAACCTCAAAAATGGCAACAGACATGACCGGGTGGGTCTTGTCAAAAGCAGATATTGGTCATGGGACCCAAAGGGAAGATTCTGCAGTCGGAACAGGCAACCCACCCCCCAAAGGAGCAGAGTGGGGGCTGCCATTGGCAACGTTCTCACAACTCACCGAGTCTCCCCATCACTGCAGTTGCCCTGAGTTTAGGGAAACTACGATGACGAGAAGGGACACAGGCCTTGACCACACCGTTGTCCAGGGCCTGCACCCGCTAGCCGGCCAGGGAGTGCCAGCCGCCCCCTCCCCGCTCCAATCCACTACCACTGTGACCTCCAAGAGGACATCGTGGCCGGACACGTCACCTGGTCCAGGTCATTCCGCAGAGCGATCTTGCTGGTGACGAGCTCATGGGCGAGGTCATCGTTCTCCTGCTCCAGCCGCATGCTGGCCTCCTGCAGCCGCCGGTTCTCCCTCTGCAGAGAAAGAGCAAGGCCCGGAACGGCGTGAGCGCGGTCACCACGGCCAGACCCCGAGAGGGAGCCCAGGGCGCCAAGCAACGGCCAGTGAGCTGTGGAGGGGGCCACGGAAGCAGGTGACAGAGGCGAGCTGCTGTCTGGAGACAACAGCGATGGAGCTGGCGGTGCGGGGTACGGCTGGCCCCCGCCCCCAACACCCTCGACTGAAGACGTGCCACAAAGCAGACGTGCCACACGGGTGAGTGGTGCTCGTGTCGTGCAGACCCTGCACACGGGCGTGGCCGTTCTCGGGCAGCTCCTGTCTGAAGCGCGAGAATAGTCCCACCCTCGGTCTCACGGGAAACTGAGGCAGAGCAGGGGTGACCCCGGCCCAGGGGACAGTTTTCCCCAGTGCTCCCGGAGTCAGGACTGAGGTTACTGGCTCTGAGAGCTCGGAATCAAGGGACTGATTCAGAACTTGGCTGACGTTTTCTTTTCTTTTTTTGTTTTTTGTTTTGTTTTGGGCCACACCCGGCGATGCCCAGGGGCTCCTCCTGGCTCTGCACTCAGGAATCACTCCTGGTGGTGCTCAGGGGACCATGGGATATTGGGGATCGAACCCGGCTCGGCCGCGTGCCAGGCCAACGCCCTCCCCGCTGTGCTATCGCTCCAGCCCCTGATGGTTTCCTTCGTTCAGTAAAAATATCTCTGCTCTTCAAATGCCCAGGCCCGTGTGAGCGGAGCCAGTTCCTTCTTGGGGTCCTGCTGCTTTGGGGACGGGGACCCAGTGGGCGTGCAGATGTTCCCATTGCTGCAGTGAGACCGGGAGACTGCACACACGCTTGCCGCGGGAACTATACTGTATTGTCGCGGAAATTCAGCAGGCTGTGGGCACCTGGGAGACGTTCAGTGTCCAGGCGAGCTGTGTTATGTGACCGTGTCCTTCTCCAGAAGCTCCCAGCGCTGGACACGGGAAGAAGAGAAACCTGTCTCTGTCTCTCTGCTTCTATCTCTGTCTCTCTGCTTCTATCTCTGTCTCTCTGCCTCTGTGTCTCTGTCTCTCCGCCTCCGTCTCTGTCTCTTGCTGCTTTCAGGGACGGGAGCCCTCGCTCCATGCCACAAGCAGGCCCCTTTGTCGGCAAACTGGAGTAGAGAGAACAATCCCCGGCCACTTCCACCCTCTCTTCTCCGTCCACGGAATCCCAGAGCACGAGAACATCCAGGCGCCAGAGAAGCAAGCTCTTGCCCCCGCGTGGGTGAGCCCACCAAGGAACTAGGAAACTCCGCTTGCTAATGTACGAAACAGGCATGAAACTGTGGGGAGGGGCTGGAGCGATAGCACAGCGGGTAGGGCGTTTGCCTTGCACGCGGCTGACCCGGGTTCGATTCCCAGCATCCCATAGGGTCCCCTGAGCACCGCCAGGGGTAATACCTGAGCTCAGAGACAGGTGTAACCCCTGTGCATTGCTGGGTGTGACCCAAAAAGCAAAAAAGCAAAAAAATCTGTGGGGATTGGGCCATTTTTGGGTGGTCTTTGTGCTATTCAAAGGTTCTCAGGTTTTCTGCAAAGGATATTTGAACAGATGGGTTTGGAAAACTGTTTTAAAAAGTTAAAAGGTAAGTTGAACTTTGTGTGTGTGTGTGTGTGTGTGTGTGTGTGTGTGTGTGTGTGTATTTTCTTTTTGGGTCCCACCTGGCGATGCTCAGGGTTACTCCTGGCTCTGCATTCAGGAATCACTCCTGGTGATGCTCAGGGGACCACATGGGATGCTGAGAATAGAACACGGGTCGGCCGTGTGCAAGGTGAACGCCCTCCCCGCTGTGCTATTGCTCCAGCCCTAAGGGTCCCAAATTCTAGCGGGAGCTGGTGTGTCCTGCCCCTTGCCCAGAAACGAGTTCCATCCTGGAGGAGTCATCACCCCCCGGGTCACGCCGAGACCCCTTTTCCTGGCTGCCCCATCCAGGATGGCCCCCACCCGGCCTCCATGCTTGAATTCACACCTCCTCCCCCTTCTCCCGAGTTCTCTCTGCAGAGTGCCAGGCTCAAGTGCTCCCACAGTCACGCTAATTCATCACAAGGGAGAACATGGTGGCCACCAGCTTTCTCGGGTGATAGCTACAGATACTCAGTACTCAGTACTGAGTTCACCTCTACCTCCTAAAGGCAAGCAGTACCATGGGAAAGGACTTGGGTCAAAGTGTTTGAAGACATACCAAGTGGGCTGGGGCATCCGAGAAGCTGTGCTACCCAGACCTAAGCCTCTCACCTGCCCCCTCAATGAACCCTAGCTTCCTTCTCTACTGAGCAAAGGCTTGTGTCATGCAGGACCAGGGGAACTCGGCCAAACTCACACTCCTCAGGACCATGGCCCTCAAAGTTTTCCTTACAGACACAGAGACGGGGACCCTAAGTGGAAGAGGGTGTCTAGAAAGCCCCCCTACACCCCTCCCGCCAGGGGCCTCCCTGCTGGCGTTTGCTTTAGCAGGAAGCTTCAGTCCAGCTCGCAAAGCAAGCAGCTGGGTGGGAGGGTCGCCCTGCCCTCCTGCTCGAACTCAGACACAGAGAAGCCAGCCACAGGCCAAAATGCAGTATCGTCCTCCAAAGCCGGGGCTTCAGGCTAACAGGACCCCTTAGCACAACCCCCAACCCACACACACACAGGGGAAAGTCCGAGAACCACTTCCCCACCCTGCCCAAGGGTTAAGACACTGGCTTGGCTCTTTTCCAGCCTTTCCAGAGGAGCAGAAGTTTCCCAAACGAATGGTCTCAAGCAAGTTTGCTTTTCTGCTAGAACGGGGTGAGAGGGTTTTGATGGGGGGCTGGAGAAATGCAGATAACTAGGTTGGGGCCATTGAGAAATTACAGTAAGGGCTGCCCAGAGAGAGGTCAGTCCTGAACCTCAGCGAGGGGGAGGGGATAGTCACTTATCCTAAGCCGGGAGAGGCAAACACTTCCCCTTCAGGCAAAGACTCCACGACATCAGCCTTAAAACTCAATGGTCACTTTGAAAAAAAAAACCCCATGGCACCCAAGTGACACACGGCCTGAACCAGAATCACGGGGAACTCCACCCGGGGAAGTGAGCTAAGTCGCTTTGGGAGGAGGATACTGCATTTTCAGAGACAGACGCAGATACACACACAGACACAGATTCAAAACTTACCTCCTCAAAAGTCACAGACTCAATCATAGCGTTCTCAATCATAGATACAACCTTTTTTTTTTTAAAAAAAAAAAAAAAAAAAGAACATCCAACGACACCGCACACCTCCTAAAACATTCAGGCGATAACAGGAACAGACACTTGTTAATGCTAGTTCAGTTTTCCTGGGACTTCTGGGACACACTGACTTCTCTCCGGGGACACACTGGGACACACTGACCTCTCTCGGGGACGGGCACTTTCCTTTCAGCAAGCCAGAGGGCATGTCTCAACTCAGGAGCACCCAGCCCCCTCCCCGCAGCGGGCTGGGTGTGGACAGCCAGCAACGCTCTGAGCTGTTTGTAGGGCATTACTAACACTGGTGCAAGGAACTTCCTTCCATGAGAGGCCAGGGGCCTGGCAGGCCAGCTCTGTTTAGGCACCAGAATAACCCCATAAAGGATGGAGAACGTCATTTGTTCCAAGACGAGGGAGCCGAGAATTAAGAACTGGCAGTCTATAGAGAAGACACAAAGTCTTGAAGTAAACAGTGACAGGGGAGGGTTGGTCTAGAAACTCAGTATTTTGGCTGTGTCGGAGGCTACAGTGTTTTTAAACCTTGGCGCAGGCTTTTTTAAAGGATCAGGAGGAAAAATTTTCTTAAAGACCCAGAACCGTTTTGCCAGCAAAGGTGTCCTCTCGTTCATACTTTCTGTCGGATACCTCTTCCGAAAGGTTCATTACTCATCATGATCTCAACCATTTCTCGACATCCAGACACAGGAAATGTTTAAACATCTACATGAAAACTTGAACAAGAAAATGTGGGTGGTTGAAATCTCTGTCTTCTTTTACACCAGATAATCAATTTTCTCTTTCTGGGGAAATTTTTGAAAATTTCAAATGTTAAAAAAAAAAAATCTTGCTGGTCCTGATTGGTGACTGGCATACCAAACTGCATTTCTTCCACAATTTTAAAAAGCTTCCGGGACCAAGGGTGTGGTTCTGCATAGCTGCCACATGATTCCATGTTTGAGGCCACAGGCCCTATCCCAGCACCAAAAACAAAAAATGCAAACACAATTTTAGCTTATTTTCCAGCACAGGGAGCAGCAAAAAATTTTTTTCTTTCTCTTTTTGGGTCACACCCGGTGATGCACAGGGGCTATTCCTGGTTAACACACTCAGGAATTACTCTGGACAGTGCTTGGGGGATCCTATGGGATGCTGGGAATCGAACCTGGGTCAGCCATGTGCCAGGCAAACGCCCTCCCTGCTGTGCTATCGCTCCAGCCCTTGTTTGTTTTGGGGCCACACCTGGTGATTCTCAGGGATCTCTCCTGGTGGGGCTCAGGCCATCCTGGGTACTCTGGGAAACCAGGCGTCCCCAGCAAACTTTCAGTCAAGGGCCATTGAGCAAATATTTTCGGCCTTGAGGCCGTGGTTAAAATAACTTAGTTCTGCCACTGTCATTGCAAAAGAGTAAAAACTTTGGTTTGCCAAATGTCTGTAAAGAAGCAAACGTGTGCGTGGCCAAGTGCCACCAAAACCTTCTACCCTGGGCCCACGAGCCAGAGTCTGCTGGACTGTGAGAAGCAAGTGGTGATGGGCAACAGAGATACGGGTGAGCAAGGTACTTAATTCGCTCAGGTACAATGCAGTGACCAGAAACATTACTCACAATCGAAGACAATTTGGGGGGAGCTAATTTTGAAGACATTAGACATCCTTAGAAACTCTTAGTGGGTGTCAAACGCGCCCTGGCGTGTTAAGTAGAACCAATCCTACAAGCACCATGGAAACCAACCGTCATCATCTCAAACCAGCTCCACCAGCTGCCACTTGCCACCACTTGCCCATTGACGGCCTGTCCATGATTCGACTCTTGCTCGTCACTAAAAACACATTGTTTCATGATGCAGTTATTTCCAGAAGCCAGCAACAGCCTTTGTTGTTATGGAAGAACAATAAAACGTAAGTCTGTTCTCTTGACTTTAGAAAAACATTTTCAGAGGTGGATTCACTTCTTGACTTCGATGGGGAAGGAAGGGTCCCAAACTGAAGGGTCAAAGGGGAACTTTCTCTTTTCCAGGTAAGAAGCTCGGCATGATTTAAACATCGTTCACATGTCACGTTACAAACAAAATGAGATCATCTGACTTACTCCATTACATATGGAAAGACGGCAATATAGCGCAAGTATGAATAAGCTTTACTGTAAGTATTTCTCTTGAATTGTTTTTACTCTAGATAGAGCTGGGTTTTAAATTCGATGTTGGGGCACCGGGTTTACAAAAATTAGTCTGTGCCAAAAGAACTCTAAACTTAGAAAAAAATCATTTTCTTCCTACTTGAATTACATTTGTGAAAAATACGTCTAACCTCAAGAAAAAAAGTTCAACATTCTAAATTTAATTATTCTGAACACGGACAAGATACTTCAATTAGAAATTACGTATATAATACTGTCTGTGTCCCAAACCCAAGAGAATTTATGCATTTCTGATTCCATCGTGGAGTTTCCCTCTAGAACAGATATTAACACAACCTTCGTTATGCTTTGGGACTTAATTAACTGTACTCGGTAAGCCTTAACCCACATTTGTGCAAGTGATTCTTTAATTAAACGAGATCAGCATATCACCTTCTAGAAGTAGGTGAAGGCTGCAATTCTCTAAAAAGGTGACTCAATAAATTACACATTGCAGACAACTAAATGTCTCCAAAAGGAAGTAATTTCTTCTTTAAACAGAAAATACTGTTTTTTGTTAATTTGGGGGGCCACCCCCTGAGGTGCTCAGGGCTCCCCCTTGTCTGGCTGAGGGACCATCAGTTGCTGGGGATCAGAACTGGACCCCACATGGGAAGCAAATGCCCTGACTAGCTTTGGAAGTATTACTATCTATCAACTGGTAAATGATGAATAAGAATTGGCTACTACTTTTTTTTTCTTTTGGGGTCACACCCGGCGATGCTCAGGGGTTCCTCCTGGCTCTGCACTCAGGAATCACTCCTACCTATGCTCAGGGGACCCTATGGGATGCTGGGAATCGAACCTGGGTTGGCCACGTGCAAGGCAAACACCCTACCCGCTGTGCTATTGCTCCAGCCCCTATAAAGGTTTTTCAAAAGACACTCTCCTGCCTTCAGGTAATTACAGTCACCTTCTTAAATCAGACAGCGAAAGGCTAAATTCATGGACGGCTGGGAACCATGCTGGCAAATGCCACTTTGAAAATGTAAGTTTTATGTGACGATGTAATTTTACCAAGTTGACCACCGGTCCGAATGCCTGATACTATTGAAAAGGTATGATGCAATTAGTGAAATAATGCATTGATACATTATAACACAATTCACAGAAATAACAAGACGGTACCTGATAGGTATAAACAAGAGGTCACAACAACCAAATTTTAAATTGTGTGTTCTCAAAACAAAACAGTTTAATTCTAGTTTGATCCCTCCTCCAAAAAAATAACTATATATATATCCATAGTTTTTTGTGTGATAAGTACTTGAAAAAAATGATCTGCACTAGGACCAGAGAAAAAGTACAATGGGTAAGACACATGCCTTGCATGCAGCTAACCCAGGTTCAATCTCTGGCACCATGTATGGTCCCTACCAGGAGTTGATCCCTGAGTGCAGACTGACTCATTTAGCCTTGAGCACCACCAGGTGTGGCTCAAAAACAAAAATGATTAACATTATTCTACATACATGCATGTTTGCTTTGACACAAAAAGACTTAAAAAAAAAAGATATCAAGTTCAATCTGTCTGATTTTAAAGGTACTTCACTTCTCTCTCTCATGAATGCTATTTTCTCAGATGTTATTCATAACAACAGCAGCCATACCAAAGATAGGGATACAAGTTATGAAAAGGGCTTCAGGGTCAGGGAGATAGGTCTGGGGGCAAGGTGCTTGCCTTGCACGCAGCTGGTTCGATCCCTGGCATCTCCTATGGCCCCAAACATCTCGGGGTATGGCTTAAAAAACAAACAAAACGGGTGGGAACTTCACTTGACATCATTAATATTTCAAGATTGCTACTGCAAACTTTATTCAAACTACATGAGTTCCGTGCTATTGGGCTATTGGGCTGGAGCGATAGCACAGCGGGTAGGGCATTCGCCTTACACGCGGCCAACATGGCCGACCCGAGTTCGATTCCTCCGCCCCTCTCGGAGAGCCCGGCAAGCTACCGAGAGTATTCGATATGCCAGACACAGTAACAACAAAGTCTCCAATGGAGACGTTACTGGGCCCGCTCGAGCAAATCGACGATCAACGGGAGGGCCTTTACCTTTTTACCTTTACATGAGTTCCGTTAAAATTAGTTTTCCTGGGAAGTGAGGGGAAATTGCTCCCCCCCCGCCTTTTTTGGGTCACACTTGGCGATGCTCAGGGGTCACTCCTGGCCCTACACTCAGGAATTACTCCTGGCCATGCTTGGGGGGACCCTATAGGATGCCAGGGATCGAATCTGGGTTGGCTGCATGCAAAGCAAATACCCTACCTGCTATGCTATCGCTCTGGCCCCGGGAAATTGCTTTTATTAAGAGAATGATAGTGGAGAAATTAGCTTCAAAAGAAAAGCAAAAACAAAATAAAGAAATTTGCTTCAAACCTTGTTTTGTGCCCATAGGGAATGAACGCAGTAGTCTGGGGGACCTCCTATTCTTTAGCTAGTTTTATTAAGGCAGAGAAGGAAGTACTAACGCTGCAGTATTATTGCGGGCAGGGCCTCGAGTAGGAAGGAAATCAGTGAAGAATGATCTGGGGGGAACAACCACAGAAGAGGACACGTCCCCTAGCACTGTGCCACGGGAATAATATCGCTAATTCCCAGCCCATCCATCTTTCTGAATGCAGTGAACTGATGACCGCTCACGAGATCACAGTACACAGGGGTCATCTGAAACTGCAGATCAGTCAAGTACCTCTGGAGACTGGTGGGAAGGAGAGTTAGGACAAACACCATCGTTGTGCTCCACAGAACTTTGCGCTTTTTTATTTTTCTTTCAGAACGAGTTTGTACTGTTAACAGGTGCCACAGACACGGGTAAGTCTGGAACATTCTTGTGCCCGTCTTGCAAAAAAAGTCCTTTTAAAAGTCTCTGGCTGGGCCTGTGGACCGCTAAAACAGTACTTTGCCTTTTTCCCGTTTTCCTCATTTTTGAAAGTAGTCGAGAGCCACTTTCGTTTTTTCCCCTCTCTGAGCGTCTGATGAAGAGTTTCAGTATAAATGCAACAGGAGTGACCTACAAATATACAAACTGGAAGAAGAGAGATATTATGGTTTACGGCTGGCCGCCGGGAGCACACACCTGAACGCTCAGCACGGACACAGGGGGACACACCAGACAAGGAGGCGCCGAGGGGGGTATAGGGGACCCGAGCCGCCCTACCCACCTTGTATCTGTCCATGGGGTCTTCCTGCTGCAGCTGACTCTCCCGCAGGGCCTGGTACTCTTTCTCATATTTCTTGAGCTTCTTGGTTGGGACCTGTAAGGGATTGGAGGGAAAGCGTCAGACAAGGAAAGACCGCCCGCTTCCCACAGGATCCCCTGAGCACCGCCAGGAGTAATTCCTGAGTGCAGAACCAGGAGGAACCCCTGTGCATCACCGGGTAGGACCCTAAAAGGAAAAAAAACAAAAAACAAAAAAACAAAAACCCAATCTATTTAACAGTGCTACTAATGTGGGCTGGAGCAATAGCACAGCGGTAGGGTGTTTGCCTTACAAGCGGCCAACATGGCCAACCCGAGTTCGATTCCTCCGCCCCTCTTGGAGAGCCCAGCAAGCTACTGAGGGTATCTCGCCCGCACGGCAGAGCCTGGCAAGCTACCCGTGACGTATTCAATAGGCCAAACACAGAAACAACAAGTCTCATGATGGAGACGTTACTGGGCCCGCTCGAGCAAATCGATGAACAACGGGAGGACCGTGACCGTGACTAATGTGGTTAATTAAACTTAAACTTCACTAGTGCATTTCACCATTATGAAAATGAAAACAACTCATTTCTAAAAATGAACTGGACAGCAAGGTCGGAGCGGTAGCCAGGGGGAGGGTTTGCCTTGCAGGCAGCCATCCTGCCGTTGCTCCCCGGCACCCCATAGGGTTCCCTGAACCCCAGCGGGAGTGACCCCTGAGTGCAGAGCCAGGACTAAGCTTGGAGCATCACCGGGTGTGCTGCAAAATCCAAAAGAAAGACAAACCAATAAGCCGGAGAGATAGTCCAGTGGGGAGGGCGTTTACCTTGCATGCAGCCGACATGGGTTCGATCCCTGGCATCCCATATGGTCTCCTGAGCACCACCAGGAGTAATTCCTGAGTGCAGAGCCAGGAGTAACCCCTGAACATCACCAGGTGTAAAGCCCCCCTCCCCACAAAAAGATAAACAAACCAAAACCAAGCAACAAATATTCTGAATAGCATTAATATGCCAGAGAGGAAAAAAGAATTTAAAGTTTGCCACTGAAAACTCAAGTATTGAATCACTGTCTAGAGGTAAGTCATCCAAACAACTTATCTATTTCTTACTAAAAAAAAAAGTCCTCTTGAAATAGAGCGGTTTTCTGATTTTTTGAAAAGGTACTTGAATCTTATGGAAACTTGGAATTCTAAAGCTATATAAGCAAAAAAAAAAAAATAACAGCATTTAGGTCACAGGATCAGGTACTAGGGCTGTGGTTTGAATATCTACTAGTGCTATTTATTGATTGTGTAATGCCTTGGTAATCAGGTTTTTTTTTTCTTTTTAGTTTTTGGGTCACACCCAGCAACACTCAGGGGTCATTCCTGGCTCTGTGCTTAGGAATCTCTCCTGGTGGTACTTGGGGGACCAGATGGGATGCGGGGGTGTAAGATAACATTGGTTTGTCCTTTCTCCCTTGCCACAGGGAGTTTAGATTTATTGGGCTACACCTGTCACAGTGCTCGCAAGTCACTCCCATTCCTCTGTGCTTATCTGTAACTTCTCTGTGCTCTCTTCCCCAACCTGTCTATCACCTTCCCCCCCCAATCAGACTCTGTTAACTTGTAAGGTCAGCTCCTTCTGAGGACACTTGACTTGTATTCTGAGTGAAATATTGCCTTTCTCCTTCTCTTATGTCCTTTTGCATAATTTAAAGTAATGTCCTTTTTGTGTAGACACAAGAAGACAGCTAATATTATGCTTTTGTAACTTGGGAGTCAATTGACTCCGAATAATATTCTCTCCCAGTCATCTGCTTTCTTGACTTCAGCCTCAGTTGCCCTCGGTTCCTAGCACCCCAAAAAGTAACAACGAAATTAGGACCCTGCTAGGATTAGGAAGACTAAACTGGCCTGAGCACTGTAGTCTGAGATCTATAGTGAGATGGTCCCAGGAGAGCAATTCTATAAGCTTAATGTGTCTATGTCCATACAAAATGACTAATATTATGAATGTTTACATGCCCCTGTGCCTGGCTGTCCTCATCGGGGTCGCTTGGAGGGGGGCGGTGGGTTGAGCTTCCCTCCCTGCCCCGAGCAGAGCCCCGGCAGCCGAAGACCTCTGGAACCAGCCACATCCATGCTGAGACCACTCTCTACACATTCGGACGAGCCTCACGCATGAAGGAACCAGCAGAGGAACCCAGGCATGTGGGACCTGGGGCTGAGATCTCCAAGCCTGCTCGGATCAGGACTTGGCTTCCTCCACCCAGATCCCCCATCTTCCAGTATGTCGGCATTACACCCACCAACTGCCCCCGGCGCCGTGTAATCCCATCAATGCATCAACGGCCAAGACCCAGAGACTATAAGACCCAGCTCCCAGAAGAGAACAGAATGCATTCGCGGCCACGATATCTTATTATCTAGTTCTTACTCTGGAGAACCCGGCAGGCTACCAAAAGTATCCTGCCCACATGGCAGAGTCTGGCAAACTCCCCGTGGCGCATTCAATATGCCAAAACCCAGTAACAATGAGTAACAATGATGGGTCTCATTCTCCTGACCCTGAAAGTGCCTCGAATGTGGCACTTTCTAAAATCTCAGGGCTAGGATGAAGGAGACGTTACTGGTGCCTGCTCCAGGAAATCGATGAACAACAGGATGACAGTGACAGTGATGTTTGCACGACTAAGGAGAGGAGAAACACACCCATATTTGCCCTTAGGCCAGTCGTCTTGTTGGCTATAAGAATCTGTCCTGGAAGAAGCGTCCCCTGGGAAAGGACCTTACATCCTCTGATTGTAAGGTGACACTATGTGTAACTGTTACCCCCAGGGGTTCCTCATGAGGAGGATTTAACTAGGCGGGAAGAGTGGGCAGGGGGAGGAAGAAGCAGGAGGAGAATGAGAAGTGAATGGAGATGAGACTGAAACAAACAGCAACTGACACCAACCAGCCTGGTCCTCCTCTACCCATTCATCGGCCTCTCCGGGGTTGGGGAAGCGGCCCGAGACCGCCGAACACGGGTGGGGAGAGATAAAGCGCCACAGCCCATTAGTAAATATACACTGGGGATTGAACCCAGGTCAGCTACATGCAAGGTAAACGCCCTACCTGCTGTGCAATAGCTTTGGCCCCAGTAAACAGGTATTTTGTGTTTGGGGGCCACACCCCACAGTGCTCAGGGCTTATTTGGGGCTCAGCACTCAGGTATAACTCCGGGCATGCTCAGGGATCACAGGGAGAGCCTAGGATCAAACCTGGGTTGGCTGTGTGCAAGGTAAGCACCCTCTCCACTGTACTATCTGCCTGACCCTTCACCTTGAGTGTCTTTATCTGTCAAATGACGAACAACTTTCTCCTTGGCTGTCAGGAGAATTAAGTGATGTAACATAGGTGAAGTGTCCAGACTAATTTTTTTTTTTTTGCTTTTTGGGTCACATCCGGCAATGTACAGGGGTTACTCCTGGCTCTGTACTCAGGAATTACTCCTGGCGGTGCTCGGGGAACCCTAGGGGATGCTGGGAATCGAACTCAGGTCGGCCGCGTGCAAGGCAAACGCCCACCCGCTGTGCTACTGCTCCAGCCCCCAGAGTAATTTCTTTAGGCATAAAAAGTTTATCTTTAAAAAGTACCTTGTAAGTGCAGAACTATGTGACCTTGGACTCTGGGCTCAACGGGACCAGCCCTCTCTGCCCCAAGAGACCCAGCCCCAGCAGCCAAACACTTCCAGAACCCAACGGCCGCCATGCTTAAGGCCGCTTCCCCACATGCTCGGGTCAACACGAGGGAACATATTCTTGGACTGCATGGCTGCAAATGTGGCCGCGCAACACATCATAATACACTTCCTACCCATTCTCCGTAAGTACCACACCACATATCATGGGGTTCAGATAGTAGGCAACAGAGCATTGAGGGAAATATATATATATACATGTGCATATATACATATTTTCATGTACATATACAAAAGCTCACATCATTCAACCTTCAACAATATGTTAGTGATATCCTAAAGAGTGTCTTAATGGCCGCTGCCAAAATAGAATGATCGTCACACTGTTTCCTAAATCAACACTTTTTTGTAAGCATTTTCAGAGGTTCTTCATAACAGACAATCACTCTCACTGTCACTGTCCTCCTGTCGTTCATTGATTTTGCTCGGGCGGGCCCAGTAACATTGTGAGACTTGTTACTGTGTTTGGCATATCGAATACGTCACGGGGAGCTTGCCAGGCTTTGCCGTGCGGGTGAGACAATACAAAATATATTATTTTGGTTGTGCTTTGGGACAGATTAGGGCTTGAGATGGAAACATCCCAAATTTGGTGGTGGGATTGGTGTTTGAATATTGTAATACTGTCCTCCCATTGTTCATCAATTTCTCGAGCGGGCCCAGTAACATCTCCATTGTGGGACTTGTTGTTACTATGTTTGGCATATTGAATACTTCACGGGGAGCTTACCAGGCTTTGCCGTGCGGGTGCAATACTCTCGGTAGCTTGCCGGGCTCTCCAAGAGGGGCAGAGGAATTGAACCTGGCTTGTCTGGGCCGACGGCTTGCAAGGGAAATGCCCTACCACTGTACTATCGCTCAAATGTAATACAATATTGTGAACTACCTTGTAAAATAAAATTTTAAAAAAAGTACCTTCTAATGAAAACAAAAATTTTCAAAGATGGCAAGTGTGCTGGTTTTGCTGAATTTCCCGAGGCAAGAATGTGTTGAAGACCCTTGAAAACCGTCATGATGCAGCCAAAGTCGCGCTGGGCCACAGACAGCCGGGAACAGACTGGCCCCCAAAACGTGGTATTTGGAAAGGACGCGAATGCACAGGAAAGAGAAAACAAAAGGCAGTCAGAGGGACCGATAGCGCACGCTGAGACATGGGTCCAGTTTGCATGTCTGGGGCCCTGGTTTGATGCTGTTGCGGGGTGAAGGGAGTCTGGGAGGCTTTGGGAGACAGGAGAGAGCTGGAATCCTCAGGAAGATGGAGATCCTGCTTAGCCCCAAGGCGGAAGGCTGGTCCCCATCTCAGGCTAATGGTCCGCACGGCCCACCCTCCTGGGTGGGCTCAGGG